ACGAATACCATGCCATATTTTAGAAGAAGAAACTGGCAAAAATCTTATTTCTATATTGCTTCAGCCACCTTGGAGAGCTCTTTCCGTGCCATTCCTAAACCTGGAATGGATTCTCTGTCTTACTCAAACAAGCTAAGCAGGGACAACCCTGGTTAGCATTTGGATGGGAGACCGCAAGGAATAACATGCCATATTTCAGAGGAAGAAACTGGCAAAAATCATATTTTTATATAGTTCTGGCCACCTCTGAGAGCTCTTTCCGTGCCATTCCTAAACCTGGAATGGATTCTCCATCCCACTGAAACAAGCTAAGCAGGGACAGCCCTGGTTGGCATTTGGATGGGAGACCGCAAGGAATAACATGCCATATTTCAGAGGAAGAAACTGGCAATAATCATATTTCTATATAGTTTCGGCTACCTCGGAAAGCTCTTTCCAAGCCATTCCTAAACCTGAAATGGATTCTCTATCCCACTGAAACATGCTAAGCAGGGACAGCCCTGGTTGGCATTTGGATGGGAGACCGCAAGGGATACCATGCCATATTTCAGAGGAAGAAACTGGCAAAAATCTTATTTCTATATCGTTTTGGCCACCTCGAAGAGGTCTTTCCAAGCCATTCCTAAACCTGGAATATCCATCCCACTGAAACAAGCTAAACAATGACAGCCCTGGTTGGCATTTGGATGGGAGACTGCAAGGGATACTATGCCATATTTCAGAGGAAGGAAAAGGCAGTTCTCTTCCAACTCTAGGATTCTATAGTTCTCTCCTTTCCAGAAAAAAACAAAAAATAATTGCTGAGGATTTTGTGATCAAGGTAAACATATCTCTATCCGCTCTCCATTTGGAGCAATTGGGAGTTCTTGGAGTTGGAGTCCAAAACACCTGGTGGGCGGGCCCAAATTTGCCTGCCACTTTTGGACTCTTGCTTGCTGACATGTTCCTGCCTAAGTGGCTGAGGGGGAAAAGGAAGGGCCCTGGGGCTGTTAGGAATGGTGGGAATTGGAGTCCAAAACACCCGGAGGGAGGGCCATAGTTTGCCTGCCACTTTTGGACTCTTGCTTGCTGAGGTGTTCCTGCCTAAGTGGCTGAGGGGGAAAAGGAAGGGGCCTGAGGCTGTTAGGAATGGTGGGAGTTAGAGTCCAAAACACCTGGAGGGCTGAGTTGACCTGCAAAACATCTGGAGGAAGGGCCCAAGTTGGCCCACGCCTGGTGCAAGCACACCCCATGTTGCATTTGCCTTTATTTTTTGGAAAGGCTGGGGAATCTAAAACTCTCCAGACCTCGATCTCTCCCTTTCCCATCCTTTGCAGATTCCTTTCCGGAAGTTCCCAATTACAAGACTTCCTTTTGGAAACTTTTATGAATCATGGCATCCTTCATCATTTCCTCCAAAATGGGCCCAACGCCCCTCTCCGGTTGGGTTGATTCATACCAGCAGCTGCGTTGCTATTTCTTCCCCATGATGTAAAGTGGCCAACTTGCTCCTTCGCCTGGGATCCTGCGCCGTTAAGTACCAAAAGGCAAGCGGTATATTCCGTCCTGATTCTTCCTCTGAAATATGGCATGGTATCCCTTGCGGTCTCCCATCCAAATGCCAACCAGGACTGTCCCTGCTTAGCATGTTTCAGTGGGACGGAGAATCCGTTCCAGGTTTAGGAATGGCTTGGAAAGAGCTCTCCAAGGTGGACGAAACTATATAGAAATAGGATTTTTGCAGGTTTCTTCCTCTGAAATAAGGTATGGTATTCCTTGCGGTCTCCCATCCAAATGCCAACCAGGACTGTCCCTGCTTAGCATGTTTCAGTGGGACGGAAAATCCGTTCCAAGTTTAGGAATGGCTCGGAAAGAGCTCTCCAAGGTGGCTGAAATTATATAGAAATAAGATTTTTTGCCGGTTTCTTCCTCTGAAATATGGCATGGTATTCCTTGCGGTCTTCCATCCAAATGCCAACCAGGGATGTCCCTGCTTAGCATATTTGAGTAAGACAGAGAATCCATTCCAGGTTTAGGAATGGCTCGGAAAGAGCTCTCCAAGGTGGCCGAAATTATATAGAAATAAGATTTTTGCCAGTTTCTGCCTCTGAAATACGTCATGGTATTCCTTGCGGTCTCCAATCCAAATGCCACCCAGGGCTGTCCCTGCTTAGCTTGTTTCATCGGGATGGAGAATCCATTCTAGGTTTAGGAATGGCTTGGAAAGAGCTCTCAGAGATAGCCGAAACTATATAGAAAAATGATTTTTGCCAGTTCCTTCCTCTGAAATATGGCATGGTATCCCTTGCGATCTCCCATCCAAATGCCAACCTGGGCTGTTTCTGCTTAGCATGTTTCAGCGGGATGGAGAGTCCATTCCAGGTTTAGGAATGGTTCGGAAAGAGCTCTCCGAGGTGGCCGAAACTATATAGAAATAAGATTTTTGCCYGTTTCTTCCTCTGAAATATGGCATGGTATCCCTTGCGGTCTCCCATCCAAATGCCAACCAGGGCTGTCCCTGCTTAGCWTGTTTCAYWYGGARGGAGAYTCRATTCCAGGTTTAGGAATGGRTWGGAAAGASCTCTRCGAGGTGYCCYAAARWATATAGAAATAAGATTTTTGCCAGTTTCTTCCTCTGAAATATGGCATGGTYTCCCTTGCGGTCTCCCATRCAAATGCCAACCAGGGCTGTCCCTGCTTAGCTTGTTTCAAAGGGACGGAGAATCTATTCCAGGTTTAGGAATGGCTTGGAAAGACCTCTTCGAGGTGGCCAAAACAATATAGAAATAAGATTTTTGCCAGTTTCTTCCTCTGAAATATGGCATGGTGTCCCTTGCGGTCTCCCATTCAAATGCCAACCAGGGCTGTCCCTGCTTAGCTTGTTTCAAAGGGACGGAGAATCCGTTCCAGGTTTAGGAATGGCTCAGAAAGAGCTCTCCTAGGTGGCCGAAACTATATAGAAATAGGATTTTGGCCAGTTTCTTCCTCTATAATATGGCATGGTGTCCCTTGCGCTCTCCCATCCAAATGCCAACCAGGGCTGTCCCTGCTTAGCATGTTTCAGTGGGACAGAGAATCCGTTCCAGGTTTCAAACTGCATTAATTCAACAGTGTAGAATGCACCCAGAATGGACCATCCTTTAGACATTAGGACTACATTCCTTGGTTTTGCAAATTTTAATTCCTTGGTTTTGCAAATTTAATTCCTTAGTTTTGCAAATTTTGCAAATAACAGCAGGCTGGGCGAACGGAGGGCCAAAAATAGGTCCAATCGTAAAAGACGGGAGCCGGCTTTCTGACTACCTTGTAAGGCAAAAAATGAAATATGCAAGCAAAATAAAAATAAATGGGAAACGGAGCCAAGTTTTCTCCAAGTTTCCTTTCCCAAGAAGAAAGAATGCGGGAACATCTGCAAAAATATCCGATGCTAAAAGGAGATGTTTTGCTTGCACTTACACTGCAGAACGAATGCTGTTTGGCACGGTTTGAACTGTCAAAGGCTCCGTGCGATGGTAATCCTGAGAGTTCTAGTTTTCCAAGGTCTCAAAGCTTTGCTGCTGAAGAGTGCAAACTTACTTACTTACTGACTGACTTACTTAGGCGATCCCTCGTTGTCCGAGTAGGTAGGTCCGTAGGTGACTGTGGAGCCCTATTCTTGACCTGCATCTTCTCCCACAGTGAGGGCATCGGTTTCCAGACAGAGGCAGTTCCGGTCAGGGTTGGCTTGATGTGCCTTCCTCTTAGCACGTTTCTCCTTTTCGCCCTCCATTCATGTCTCTTCGAATTCTGCAGCACTGCTGGTCACAGCTGACCTCCAGCTAGAGTGTTCAAGAGCCAGGGCTTCCCAGTTCTTCATGTCTATGTCACAGTTTTTAAGTTTTGCTTTGAGCCCATCTTTCAATCTCTTTTCCTGTCCTCCAACATTCTGTTTTCTGTTCTTGAGTTTGGAGTAGAGCAACTGCTTTGGGAGACAGTGGTCGGGCATCCGGACAACATGGCCGGTCCAGCGGAGTTGATGGTGGAGGACCATCGCTTCAATGCTGGTGGTCTTTGCTTCTTCCAGCACGCTGACATTTGTCTGCCTGTCAAGAAATTTGGAGGATTTTCCAGAGGCAGCACTGACGGAATAGTTCCACGAGTTGTATGTGTAGACAGTCCACGTTTCGCAGGCATAGAGCAGGGTTGGGAGGACAATAGCTTTATAGACAAGCACCTTGGTCTCCCTCTGGATGTCCCTGTCCTCAAACACTCTCTGCTTCATTTGGAAAAATGCTGCACTTGCAGAACTCAGGCGGTGTTGTATTTCAGTGTCAATGTTGACGTCTGTAGACAGTCCACGTTTCGCAGGCATATAGCAGGGTTGGGAGGACAATAGCTTTATAAACAAGCACCTTGGTCCTACGGATGTCCCGGTCCTCAAACACTCTCTGCTTCATTTGGAAAAATGCTGCACTCGCAGAGCTCAGGCGGTGTTGTATTTCAGTGTCAATGTGTGACACCTGTAGACAGTCTACGTCTCACAGGCATATAGCAGGGTTGGGAGGACAGTAGCTTTATAGACAAGCACCTTGGTATCCCTACGGATGTCCCGGTCCTCAAACATTCTCTGCTCCATTCGGAAAAAATGTTGCACTCGCAGAGCTCAGGCGGTGTTGTATTTCGGCGTCAATGTTGACTTTGGTGGAGAGGTGGCTGCCAAGGTAGCGGAAATGTTTTATGGATGTCCCAGTCCTCAAACGCTCTCTGCTTCATTCGGAAAAATGCTGCACTTGCAGAGCTCAGGCGGTGTTGTATTTGGTGTCAGTGTTGACTTTGGTGGAGAGGTGGCTGCCAAGGTAGCAGAAATGGTCAACATTTTCTAATGTTACACCATTAAGCTGTATTTCTGGCATTGGAGAGGGATTGGCTGGTGACTGCTGGAACAGCACTTTGGTTTTCTCGATGTTCAGTGACAGGCCGAGCTTCGTGTATGCTTCTGCGAAGGTGTTTAGAGTGGCTTGTAGATCTTCTTCTGAATGCGCACAGACGACATTGTCATCAGCATACTGGAGTTCTATAACAGATGTTGCTGTAACCTTGGTTTTGGCTTTCAGTCTGCTGAGGTTGAATAGCTTGCCATCTGTCCGATAGATGATTTCCACTCCGGTGGGAAGCTTCCCATCAACAAGGTGAAGTATCATAGCGATGAAGATGGAGAATAAAGTTGGGGCAATAACACATCCCTGTTTGACACCTGATTCCACCTTAAATGGGTCACTTTGGGAGCCATTGCTGTCCAAGACTGTTGCCATCATGTCATCGTGGAGGAGCCGCAGGATGTTCACAAATTTGTTTGGGCACCCTGTGGTTCCAACTAGATGAAATTCCCGCTTGTAGGTCTTCTGAATGTGCACAGATGACGTTGTCATCAGCATACTGGAGTTCTATAACAGATGTTGTAACCTTGGTTTTGGCTTCCAGTCTGCTGAGGTTAAATGAGGAAACTACAGTTCCCAGGACTCCATAGCCTTGCACCATTGAGGTCCTACTGGGGTCAGTCTGCAAAACTAGCAAAACTACAACTCCCGGAATGACGAAAAAAGCAAAAAATACTCCCAAAGGCAGGCAGAAGTTACATATTTTCCTTTTAATTGCTAATGTACAGTGTAATCCGGGGGACAAAAGGGCAGCAGGCAGTAGACATGTCCGAAGGGGGCAATGGAGCTATGGCATCGGATTTGGGGGTTATTATGGGGTGCCAACTGGCCAAGGCTCTCGGTGGGCCTTTGCATGGAAGCAAAAGGGGTCTCCAGAGGTCATCTAGTCTCACTACTTTCCCTGAAAATACTATTTTTTGCACAAATTATTCTGCAAGCCACCTCTGCCATAGCTCCAAAGCCTTGCCTCGTTTTCCAAGATGCAACACCATTAAATATACCACGTTTTTTTAAAAAAATCATAAAAAGTCTCCCTCTCCCCCCCAAAAAAGCCAGTGTCTTGACCAGACAAGTGCAAGGAGAAAATGAAAGGAGTGGGCAAAGGAAGACACCGCAGGCCAAAGCCCCAGCAAGACGCCGTCCAGGACGGACACACACACGCACAAAAATAGGCCATATAGAGAAAGATATAGATCGACGGAAGGGGAAACAAACCCATACAGTTCCATGGAGAGAGCGTCAAAATAAGGGCTGTGCCGCCCCTTGAAAGTGGGCATCGCCCCAAAAGGGACACAAGGAAAGCCGGAGCGAAGCAGCCGCCTCAAAGGGAAAGAAGGCAGTGGGAAAAAACCTGAGCTGAGGAGAAAATATCAAGAGAAAGGAGGCTTCTGAAAGAAAAGAGTTGGTTATGGAGAGAGTACGAAGCAGGGAAGGAAGGACTGGTTTTGGAAAGGGAGGGAAGAGAAGGAGGAAAGGAGACAGATGAAGGGGAGGAACAGAGAAAGCAAAAGGGAAGGAAGGGAGAAAAGAAGGGAAAGAAAGAGAAGATGAAAAGGAAGAAAGGAGATGGAAGGAGGGAAGGAACAGAAGGGAATTAAAGAGAAGGAGGGATAGGGAAAAGGTCAGGGAGGGAAGAAGAGAAAGAAAGAGAAAACAAAAAGGAAGTAAGGTGATAGAAAAAAGGAAGGATGGAGAAAGAAAGGAAGGGATGGAGGGAAGAAAAGGGAGGAAGAGAGGAAGGAAAAAGATTGGGGGAAGGAGGAATATAGGAAGGAAAGGTGAGAAAAGAAAAGAAGGGGAAGGAAGGGGAAAGGAAGGGAGGGAGAATAAAAAGAAGGAAGAAAAGAAGGGAAGGGAAGATAAAAAGGAAGGAAGGGAAAGAGAAGGAAAAAGGAAGGGAGCATGAGAAGATGGGAAAGAAAGAGAAGGCGAAAAGGAAAAAAGATAATAGAAGAAAGGAAGAAGATAGGAGGAATTGAAGGAAAGTGAGAGTAGAAGGAAAGGAGGAAAAGGAAGAAATGGGAGGGAAGGAAGGAAGGAGAAAGAAACAAGGAAGCAAGAAAAGAAGGGAAGGGAAGACAAAAAGGAAGAAAGGTAATAGAAGAAAGGAAGAAGGTAGGAGGGACTGAAGGAAAGTGAGAGAAGAAGGAAGAAAAGGAAGAAATGGGAGGGAAGGAAGGAAGGAGAAGGAAAAAAGGAAGCAAGAAAAGAAGGGAAAGAAAGAGAAGGCGAAAGGGAAGAAAGGGAAGAAAGGTGGAAGGGACTCAAGGAAAGTTAGAGAAGGAAGAGGGAAAAAGAAGAAAGGGGGAGGGAAGGAAGGAAGGAGAAGGAAAAAAGGAAGCAAGAAAAGAAGGGAAAGAAAGAGAAGGCAAAAGGGAAGAGAGGTGATAGAAGAAAGGAAAAAGGTGGAAGGGACTGAAGGATGAAGGAAAAAGAAGAAAGGGGGAGGGAAGGAGGGAGGGAGGGAGGGAGGGAGGGAGGGAGGGAGGGAGGGAAGGAAGGAAGGAAGGAAGGAAGGAAGGAAGAGGAAGGAAGGAAGGAAGGAAGGAGAAGGAAAAAAGGAAGAAAGGAGATAGAAGAAAAGAAGAAGGTAGGAGGGACTGAAGGAAAGTGAGAGAAAGAAGGAGGAAAAGGAAGAAATGAGAGGGAAGGATGGAGAAGTAAAAAGGAAGCAAGAAAAGAAGGGAAGGAAAGAGAAGGCAAAAAGGAAGAAATGTGATAGAAGAAAGGAAGAAGGTAGAGGGAGGAAGGAAAGTGAGAGAAGAAAGGAAGGAGAAAAGGAAAAGAGGAGGGAAGGAGGAAAAAAAGGAAGGGAAGGAGAAGGGGAAAAAAGGAAGGAAGGGAAAGAAGGGAAGGAAAGAGAAGTCAAAAAAGAAGGAAGAGAAGGAGGAAGGGAAGAAAGGAAGGATAATGAAATATCAGAGACTTTCTAGAAGTCCTGCCCCTTTTCTTAGGAAGCCTTGACTCCTTGGAACATAGAATCCTAGAGTTGGAAGGGACCTGGTGGGCCATCCAGTCCAACCCCATTCTGCCAAGAAGCAGGAAAATCATGTTCAAAGCACCCCTGACAGATGGCCATCCAGCCTCTGCTTCAAAGCCTCCAAAGAAGGAGTTTCCACCAAACTCCCAAGTGTGAATTTCCACTTGGGGAGGGATGTTGCAGCATCCTTCCCCAAGCCAACAGAAACCAAAAGCCTTTCTCTTGTGCGCAATTGCGCTGTAACAGCATTGTGTGGAAGGAAGGAACTGAGGTCTGGCAACTGCGCATGGCAACATCATCAGGAGGAACAGGAGAGGCCACAACAATGCCGGATAACAACAAATGCAGGCGCATAACAGGGATGTTTGAGTGGCACAACAGAACATGTTTACATTTGGATGGGATATACGAACACGTGATACATGCAAGTGGAAAGGAAGCCTCCAATCCTCCTCCATGAAACTTGCACACGGATGAATCTTGTGCATTAATGACATCAATTCATTGTGTTGGTGTGAGTTTTCTAGGCTGCCCGGCCATGTTCCAGAAGCATTCTCTCCTGATGTTTCGCCCACATCTATGGCAGGCATCCTCAGAGGTTGTGGGGTCTGTTGGAAACTAGGCAAGCGGGGTGGATATATCTCTGGAATCGTGTCCAGGGTGGGAGAAGTCTGTGCGTTGTTGGGGTGGCAAGGCAACCGAGGGATTGGCAACGAGGGGAAGCGGTCGAAGGAGAGGGCACGGGACCAAAAACAAATTCATCTGGCATTTTTAAGAGGAGGGAGGCGGCTCCGAACCCTGCCCTCCAGCACCCAAAGTCTGGATGTGCGGACGCTGAGTTTGCGCCCGAGGAGGAAGCCAAAGAGGGCTTGGCCACCGTTCCCCGTTTTGGCATCGTCGTCGTCTTCTTCCTCCAAGATGGACGTTGGGTCCGGCGCCGAACGGAAAGGAGAGAGAAAGAAGAGAGAGAGAAAAGTTCTTCTGTTCTCAGCACTGGGAGGAAAAGAAAAGAAAGAAGGGGTTAGAAAAAGGGAAGAGGAAGAGAACATATTACACGATGTAACAAAATTGGAAACTTTTTCTGTTCGTGGTTTGAAAGACTTATCTATATAAATAAAAAGGTAAAAAGCAAAAAAAAATACATTACAATGTTCATGCTTATCTTCTTACCTAATTGGATTTACCTATTCCTTTAAAGTGCTTTTTACTTAGATGCTTTTTACTTATCTATATACTATATAAATAAAAAGGTAATGTTCGTTTGTGGGATTAACAGAACTCAAAAACCACTGGACGAATGGGCACCAGATTTGGACACAAGACACCTCTCAGGCCAACGAGTGACCCTCACTCATAAAAACACTGAAAAACACAGCGGAAGAGACTTAAAAAGCCAAAAAGAGAGAGAAAATACATTACAATGTTCATGCTTATCTTCTTACCTAATTGGATTTACCTATTCCTTTAAAGTGCTTTTTATTTATCTATATAAATAAAAATGTAATGTTCGTTTGTTGGATTAACAGAACTCAAAAACCACTGGACGAATGGACACCAAATTTGGACACAAGACGCCTCTCAGGCCAACGAGTGACCATCACTCATAAAAACACTGAAAAACACAGCGGAAGAGACTTAAAAAGCCAAAAAAAGAAAATACATTACAATGTTCATGCTTATCTTCTTACCTAATTGGATTTACCTATTCCTTTAAAGTGCTTTTTTACTTAGATGCTTTTTACTTATCTATATAAATAAAAAGGCAATGTTCGTTTGTTGGATTAACAAAACTCAAAAACCACTGGATGAATGGACACCAAATTTGGACACAAGACACCTCTCAGGCCAACAAGTGACCATCACTCACAAAAACACAGTGGAAGAAACTTAAAAAGCCAAAAAAAGAAAATACATTACAATGCTCATGCTTATCTTCTTGCCTAATTGGATTTACTTATTCCTTTAAAGCGCTTTTTTCTTTGATGCTATTTACTTATCTACGTATATAAATAAAAAGGTAATGTTCGTTTGTGGGATTAACAGAACTCAAAAACCACTGGATGAATGGACACCAAATTTGGACACACGACACCTCTCAGGCCAACAAGTGACCATCACTCATAAAAACACTGAAAAACACAGCGGAAGACACTTAAAAAGCCAAAAAAAGAGAGAAAATACATTATCATGCTTATCTTCCTACCTAATTGGATTTTCCCATTCCTTTAAAGTGCTTTTTACTTAGATGCTTTTTACTTATCTACATATATAAATAAAAAGGTAATGTTCGTTTGTGGGATTAACATAACTCAAAAACCACTGGATGAATGGACACCAAATTTGGACACAAGACACCTCTCAGGCCAACGAGAGACCATCACTCATTAAACCACTGAAAAACACAGCAGAAGAGACTTAAAAAGCCAAAAAAACATTATAATGTTCATGCTTATCTTCTTACCTAATTGGATTTACCTATTCCTTTAAAGTGCTTTTACTTAGATGCTTTTTAATTATCTATATAAATAAAAAGGTAATGTTTGTTTATGGGATTAAAAGAACTCAAAAACCACTAGATGAATTGAGACCAAATTTGGACACAAGACACCTCTCAGGCCAACGAGTGACCATCACTCACAAAAACACTGAAAACACTGAAAAACACAGCAGAAGGGACTTAAAAAGCCAAAAAACAAAAATTACATTTGCTGTGACATATTGTGCTTTTGTGTCAGTAAAATAATAATACATTTCCACGGCTGAAGAAGGATTTGAATGTCAATGAAGAGGATATCATCATCATCATCATCATCAATAATAATAATAATAATAATAATAATAATAATAATAATAAATTTCCATGGTTGAGATGAAATTTCAATGTTAATAATGACGATGACAATAATAATAATAATAATAATAATAATAATAATAATAATAATACATTTCCATGGCTGAAGAAGGATATGAATGTTAATGAAGAGGACATCATCATCATCAACAACAACAACAACAACAATAATAATAATACATTTCCATGGCTGAAGAAGGATTTGAATGTTAATGAAGAGGACATCATCATCATCATCATCATCAATAATAATAATAATAATAATAATAATAATAATAATAATTTTCCATGGTTGAGATGGAATTTCAATGTTAATGATGAGGATGACAATAATAATAATAATAATAATAATAATAATAATAATAATAATAATACGTTTCCATGGCTGAGGAGGGATTTATAGGATAAAAGTCCCAAGCATGAAAAATGTAGCCAGATGAAGCATTGTTTGGAATCAAGTTATAGGATGGCATAGCATAGCATCATAGAGTTGGAAGAGACCTGGTGAGCCATCCAGTCCAACCCCATTCTGCCAAAAAGCAGGAAAATTGTGTTTAAATCACCCCCAACAGATGGCCATCCAGCCTCTATTTAAAAGCCTCCATAGAAGGAGCCTCCACCACACTTTGAGGCAGAGAGTTCCACCGCTGAACAGCTCTCACAGTCATAGAATCATAGAGTTGGAAGAGACCTGGTGGGCCATCCAGTCCAACCCCATTCTGGCAAGAAGCGGGACAATTGCATTCAAAGCACCCCTGGCAGTGCAAAAGCTGCCAATGTTGCAACAAGTGAAATCCGGGCACTACAGACTCCCCAGAAAGTAGTCCCAAAGTGTGGGCAAAGCTTGCCCTGAGGACTACAGCTCCCAGAATCCCTCAGTGACCGTAAACTCTCCTCTTCCTGCTCACCTCGTTGGTGCCTCCACCACCACCGCCTCCCCCTCCGTGGCTCAGGAGCCCCGTCTGTTCGTTCCGTCTGTCCGTCTTCATCTCCACCACCGTGTCGTCAGGGTTCCCCTCTTTGGGCGTCCTGGAAAGGGATGGAAAACAGGGTCATCTCAGGCTGCATCCACACTGGGAAATGAAGTCTGAGTCTGAATAGACCCAGATCGGATCTGGGTCTATTCAGACTCAGACTCCATTTCAGAAACAGTATGCTTTTAGAAGACTATCGAAACAGCAGGCTTTAGAAAGACAGAGGCTCTGTTAGACTCTCAGAACAGAGAGATGCTTGAGTCCCTTTGGTGAGATAGAGCAGTCTATAAATAATAATTATTAATTATTTATTTATTTATTTATTTATTTAATCATGTCAGGGGAAACCAGACAATTGTATTAAACAAAAATAACACAGAATTTGCAAGCTTGCTATTCTATTAAATGTCCTTTGCCCAGTATCTGGCCCCTTGGAGTGCCTCTGGTGTTGCCGCAAGAAGGTCCTCCCTTGTGCATGTGGCTGGGATCAGGGTGCATTGCAACAGGTGGTCAGTGGTTGGCTCTTCTCCACACTCGCATGTCGTGGATTCCACTTTGTGGCCCCATTTCTTGAGGTTGGCTCTGCATCTCGTGGTGCCAGAGCGCAGTCTGTTCAGTGCCTTCCAAGTCGCCCCATCTTCTGAGTGCCCAGGGGGGAGTCTCTCATTGAGGTTCTGGGTTTGAGCCTGCCACTTTTGGACTCTCGCTTGCTGGGGTGTTCCAGCAAATGTCTCTGTAGATCTTAGAAAACTATTTCTTGAATTAAGTCGTTGACGTGCTGGCTGATACCCAAACAAGGGATGGGTTGGAGATGTCTCTACCTTGGTCCTTTCACTATTGGCTGCTACTTCCCAGCGGATGTCGGGGGGTGCAATATTGGCTAAGCAGTGTAATTTCTCCAGTGGTGTAGGGCGCAGGCACCCCATGATAATGCGGGATTGGCATTCGACGACTGAGCTAAAATGGCTCCCTTTCCTTCCTGAACCCTGGGGAAAGGGGCGGAACTGAAAAACCCAACGATGATAGGCAGGTGGCTGCAAACCAAGGGAAGCCAACTTATTGCAAAATGCTTGGAACTTTGGAATACATGCAAACACTCAAAGAAAGGAAAGGAAGTTGGAGCTCCTGGTACAGCCGTACCAGCACAATGCCTTTCCAAATGGTTTTCCCAAATGGTAATGAATGCCATTTCCCAAAAGTCCATATGCATTTAGCATTGCACTCATCCTATTTTTAAGTGGTCTTAGAATAACAGAATCATAGAATCAAAGAGTTGGAAGAGACCTCCTGGGCCATCCAGTCCAACCCCATTCTGCCAAGAAGCAGGAATATTGCATTCAAATCACCCCTGACAGATGGCCATCCAGCCTCTGTTTAAAAGCTTCCAAAGAAGGAGCCTCCACCACACTCCGGGGCAGAGAGTTCCACAGCTGAACGGCTCTCACAGTCAGGAAGTTCTTCCTCATGTTCAGATGGAATCTCCTCTCTTGTAGTTTGAAGCCATTGTTCCACTGCGTCCTAGTCTCCAGGGAAGCAGAAAAGAAGCTTGCTCCCTCCTCCTCCCTGTGGCTTCCTCTCACATATTTATACATGGCTATCATATCTCCTCTCAGCCTTCTCTTCTTCAGGCTAAACATGCCCAGCTCCTTAAGCTGCTCCTCGTAGGGCTTGTTCTCCAGACTCTTGATCTGCTCTCCCTCCTCCCCGTGGCTTCCTCTCACATATTTATCCTTGGCCCTCATCATGTCTCCTCTCAGCCTTCTCTTCTTCAGGCTAAACATGCCCAGCTCCTTAAGCCGCTCCTCATAGGGCTTGTTCTCCAGACCCTTGATCA